GAACGGATGCCGGCGGGTCGGGGGGGCGAGGGGGCAACAAGGCAAATAGTAGGGAAGTTTCTTGGTTTTTCTTTCTTTGGCTTTTTTTTTTTGTCTTTCTTTCTGCGTGTAAACTTGTTGGCGGAGGTCTGTCTATATACTCCACTCACCCGAAGATGGGGCGAGACTAGAGAAGAAACGAGGGATGATATGATGATGCCGGAGATTCGAGAAGGGGATCTTGTTATAGGTCATAGTGGGGTCTAACTAACTAGCTGATGATGGGATGTATTATTGTGTATTATCCCTAGGCGGAGGAAGGGAAGGGAAGAAGGGGTTTTTTCGGGCCCCCCGCTTGCCAATACCAAAGCTTGGAAAAGGAGATGTCTGTTTTGCTTTCAATGTCTTTTGCATGCAATCGGCTCTCACTCTCTCTCTCTCTGCCAGCCTTGATTTCCTTTCAGCGTTATTGAAGCTGGAAGTTGACTGTGAGAAGAAAAAATAAAGAATGCGGAGTACAGAATTTCGAAGAGAAAAAATTAGGTGGGCCGGACTGGGGAACTATGACATTCTACTGTTGATTGAACAGTATCCTCCTACAATCAACGATGACGATGGGCCGCTTGATATAGTTATAGAGTAAATCAGACGAACTGTCACTCAACTATCAAAATCAACTCCCGTTTCTTCCGCCTCTGTATAATGTATAACAGTATATATATAGAGAGAGGATGGATGGATCACCGTCATCCCATAATGCCCACATCTCTCAATTGATCAGTTCCCATCTTTTCCACATAAATAAACGATATTAGGTCAAACCGCGAACTGGTGAGACATTGTAAAAAGAACATGCGTAGAGCTCTTGCTTGGTATATATACACACACACACACAACACACACACACACAGAGAGAGAGAGAGAGAGAGAGAGAGAGCTGTTGTATTTAACCTCGTCCACTCGTCGATGATGTCTCATTCCTCCTCCCTCTGTCTGCCCTTCAAGTTCCTCCTCTCAGGCCAACACTGTCTGTCATCTTGAACCTATCTACCATAGAAAACAGTCGCAGTGCACAGCTCCAACATTCAGTCCTTCACTCCCCATATTTCCCCCATGGTAGATTTCCGAAATCATGCATACATCATATATCATCCAGCGAGAGGACTAAAATGCATAGTGGTTTGTGCTTCCATCCATGCAACCCGGTTCTGAGTAGTTAATTTGCTACGCCCTTCCTGTCTTCTTCTCATAATAACACATCTCGTCACCCTCATCCATCGAGGACTATCATCCATCGAGGACTGTCATCCATCAAGGACTGGATGCGAAGAGGTTCTGCAAAACCTGTAAAATTCAGTCAAGTCGCTGTTCCATGATCCGCGATGATAACACGGTTTTCTCGTCCTATTTAGGACTTACACATTGAGCACTTCGCCTCCGGGCAACGGTCTTCTTTTCATTCTCCTCGTCACATCGATCTTTTTAATCGTCCGTCAATGAAGGGCGTTCCAGCTTCCGAAGATATATATTCTTGCGCCTGAGTCATATGTCATATGTTTTTGTTCTATGTCTTCAGGTTCCTCCTGTTTCTGATGTCAGCGTCGTCTGCCCGGCCTCTCCTTCAAAAGTTCCCCATCGCATCACCAGCATCATCACATCATCCCCGCCCCCTTCCTACCCGGCGGTGGTACCACCTGAACAAGGATCGCCGACCATCCCTCCCCTTTCCCCTCCCCTTTCCCCTCAACGAACGCCTCGATCGCCCTCAACCCCTCGCACACGGCAGCATGACATCACACAGCACATCTCCAGGCGGGCAAAGAAGAATTTGACAACAATGTTTTCCATGATACCGTATCATCCCATTTCGTTTCGGGCAACTAGGGGGAATTTTTTTTTTTTTTTTTTTTTTTTTTTTTTTTTTTTTTTTTTTTGGCTCGTCAATATGAACAATGTTGTATTTCCAGATGAAGAGGGATCAGGATCAGGAGAGAGCTGTAGGATAGTTAAAGGTTGTATTGATAGATCTATCTACAAGAACATAATATAGTGGTGGGTCACGTGATCTAGTGGGATCGCTAACCGCAACTGCCGTAAGGGCCAACAAGAGCAACCCGGCGGCGGGGTAATATTGTATAATCTACGGAGTGAGTACCTTAAGGTATAATAATAATAACTATATCTTCCCCTCCATATACTCTTTTTATACAATTTATCCCCCGCAAAAAGAAGTCCACCAAATACACAAATACAAGAGGAAAATGAAAAGGAGGCGGCAGAGCCCCTTTTTCCCTCTACTTCTTTTTCCCTCTACTTCTTTTTCCCTCTACTTCTTTTTCCCTTCAGAATCAAGACCGATTCATAGGTAGGTAACTACAAGGAGAGAGAGCCTGAGAGAGCATAACTATTGTGCAGGGAAAAAAAAAAAAAAAAAAAAAAAAAAAAAAAAAAAAAAAACCCATATATATATAGTTATTTATAGCCCAATCACAATCTCAATCCCAGCCCGCCTGGGTCCCTTCCAAGGACTTTTGTCGACACTGGAAGATTTTTTCGTATCAATATTTTGCTTTGCGGGTCCAGATTCTTTTTGCTTAACCTTTTTTTTTTTTTTTTTTTTCAACATGGAGATTTCTTATTTGCCGAGCGCTTCCACCGTTTTCCCCCCCCGGTCACTGGAGACTTGGCGCTTGTCACGTGGGGCGGGTAGTTACCTACTGTTGGGGGTCCCGGGGGTTGATCGGCCCTTCTACCAGCAGTGCGCTGGTGGTGACTGAGCTCTTTTGCCCCAGTAGCCTAAAGTTACTAGGTAGGGAGGGATGTACGGAGTAGAGTCAGTCAGTATCTATCCTCTTTCTTGGGATATACGATGTATCAATGTTACTACGGAGTACTATGTATGTACATGTACAGAGCATTCCTCACCCCAACCAATATCATATATCATGCCTAGATGGGCCTGTCTGTTTGCTTTTTTCCGGCGGTAGTTATTGGTCTAGGCGGCATTGTAGCTGCTGGCTCACGTTTGGGAAGAGGCACGGGGTTCGTTTTTTTTTTTTTGGACCCCGTGGTCAGCAGAGACTTTTTTTGCATTACTGTAACTACCCAATAATTGATGATTGATTATTATTATTGATCTGATTATGTTGAGGTTGAGGTTGAGGCGGGGAAAGGTGCTGGTAGGGTAGGGGCGGGATCTGATCCTGTTGGGATTGTGTGGTATTATTGTATTGCCGTGTGGTCAGGGAGGAATCTCAAGGGGGTGATGGAGATGATGATAGATGATGCTGTTTCATTATTGAGATATCAGATCTGAGAGGAATCTTTCTCCATGTTTTGCCATGCTTCTTCTTCTCCATATTGTTTATTTATTTATTTATTATTATTCTGATAAGCACACTTCCCCCCACCTCCACGTCAAGTCAACGTCAAAAAACATAGAGGAACCCAGTGGCCCCCCCAATATCCGAAAATAACAACCGAGTTTCTCCTGACCGTTCGCCATTTCCCCCGTTGCGCCATGGGATGGAGGTAGCATCATCATTACATTATTACCATTTTCACCAAAAATAAAACCAGTGTGTTGTTTGTTGGTTGGTGTTTGAAGTTTCCAGCTTGCCTCTTCCCCATCCTCTTCCTCTTCCTCTTCCTCTCCCCCGCTGAGCCGGTTTGGCCCAGGCCCTTTGAATGGCGGTGTCGTGCCGTACCGTACAGCGCCGTACGCAAAATACGAAACGTGGAGATCTGTAATTTGATTTTTTTTCGGAGCCAGGAAGAAAATAATTCCCTCACCACCTGACTAACCAGTCCTTCCAATAGCATCCTTGGCAGCTGTGGTTGCGTAATTTGCTAATTTGCCCGAGCGCCCCCCCCCGCCCCTCGCAAACCCCGCCCCAACCCCACTTCAACCGATGCTTTCCGCCGCCGCCTGGTTTGCTGGCAACCAGCCAACCGCCGTGATTGGCCGTTGGGGCGGGCGATGGGGAGTGTATTGCCATTACGGTTACGGAGTACTCCGTACTGTACCCTCCAACCGGCGTATACCGCGGGATAAATTACGCCGTTTTGGGGGGGGCGGTACAGAGTTGGTATTTGTTTTACGGGTCACTTGACTCAGCTTCAGGTGTGCACCAACGTAATTTTTTTTTTTTAACTCGGTAAACCTGTAACTAAGCCTAGGTATGTATGTACTGTACCTAGCAAATCGAATAAAATACCGGGGGGTGTGTGTTCCCTCCACATTTGACACATCCCACAAAAAAAGAAATATATTTTTAAATCCAACAAGGTGTCCCCCGAGTTAGGCTCCTTTGTCCTCCTTTTTAACTAGTCTCATTCCAATGTTGTTGAGACATGTAATTGATTGGGTATTTTCCCCCCCGCGCCCAACGTAGAAAAACGAGCCCATAAAACACATAAACGTTGATAGATGGGTGATTCCGATAAAAGCTGCTCCTTCGGTG